AAAATGTTGCAATGTTGAATGTTGAAGTACACATATGTTTTCAACGTTGAATCTAAGTTAATTTTTGTACATTGATTCTTTATGTTGCTGCAACGTTAAAACAATAGCGAACAAATTATTATTTTTTAATACTCAATTGCGAATCATTGCTATTATGTGTCCATTTGTTTTTTAGAAAATGTCTGCATATCGAAGAAAACGTATAGTACCCAGTTATCGCTAAATAATGCTGGGATATTTATGAAATGTTCCTAAAATTCAAAATTAACATCCCAAGAATATTTCTAAATATTCCGGAATATTTACAGAATATTTAAGAATATTCAAATAAGCGTGAAATGTTCCATTATTCCAGAAATGTTCTTATGACATGTTGTGTTTAGTTAATTAGTAAGGTTGACAAGTTAATAAATCTTGACATTACCTACAAGTGCACATAAAACTTGTATGGTCCTTTTCAAAGAAATCACGAATTTCATCAAATTTGTTTCGATGACAGTGTTACTTTTAGAGAAATAATCCAATTTCAGCACAGAAAACTTCCAATAGTTGTAAAAAAATGTTTTGCTAAACGCGAGCAATGTTAACTCAATATATTTTAACAATGTTTTCTGAATGTTGAGTTGTAACGTTTACAAAACATTACAATTTAGCGGACATTAGACGTTCTTGCAATATTTTTCAACGTTGAATCTACATTTCGTAACATTGCTGCAATATAACAATATTGTAATGGAACGTTTTTGAGATGTTGATTCAACATTTGTGTGCTGTATGGGTCTTGTACAGGTGCCAAATTTATACATGCCGAAGGAAAAAGATTCGGGGGGAAAGAAAGGAGAAGAGTGTTCATCGATTTATACCCGAATATGATAATCCACGTCGCAGTGCAGCTTGTATCGCTCGTGGGTTAACGATTTATGGCATTCACTCTTATCTCCACACATTACATAATAGAAATTGTCGGACGAGACTGAGAGTGAAACGAATGAAACAAAAATACCATACACTTCTTCGTCATTTCCTAAGTTATTTTCCTGGATGAATAATTCTCAACAATTATTGGCCACCATGGTACACCGCAACTTTTATTTGTAACAGCGTTATCGCGGAGACGCAAATGAGATCAGAAAACGAGGTTGCAGCGGCGGAAAGTTGTTTACTCCGATCTGCCTATGCCGGGCTTTTAAATGAGGAAAATACGAGAAATTTATTGCGACTGTCGGAAACTTGTGACCGTATAAATTCGTAGTGGTAGATAAAAGTGAATTTGCAGAGGGAACTCCCTCCTTTCGAATTTACAAGTTTATAGAATTTTTAGAGAGTATACACAGCGATCTGTTGGCGCGCGATTCGACACGGATATCGCGATCGAGGCTTACTTTTGATAACACGAGCATCAACTTCTTTGACAGCCGTCGCCGCTCTTAAACTTTGCATAAAGGAAAAAAAGAACAAAACTACGAGGACGTGCGTAAGATATGTTTGCAAGCGCATCGCAATAAGAAGCGTCGTCTGCAGCATCTAAATAAGTGTCGCATAGACGAAGTGTTCTTCCAATAAAACACGCTGCAACAAATGGCCGAAGTTTAGCAGATGATGAAACAACTGTTTTCGATCAGAGGAAATAACATGGGAATAATATCGATCTTTCAAATTATTCCATAAATCTTTGTGTTCCCGAGAGACAACGTTCAACGGTGAAATATACGCGGAAACATATGAAATCAGTCAATACGTTATTTATGGCAATCGCTAGTCATTGAGAGCCGAGAAATTCAACAATTAGATGCAAAACCAGTGAGATAATACTCCGTTGTAGTAAAAAAAATGATATTGCCATTCGGTACGTGTAACTTTTTCTCCAAAAAAACCGACAAACTTGGCGGACTACCGCAAAGGGATGCACGCACGCGAGGAACAATATGGTGATGAAAGGTGAATTTGCCAATTTTGGAACAATGTAACACCAAACTTCAACTAGAAATATTGTACACGTCGCGCGTACCTTTTAATGTCAAACCAAACTTTGTTAGTCATTTATAACGTCATGTCGTTGCGCGCATCTGTACCACCTACACCGCCGATACCTATAAATAGAATTAGCACAGAACAATTATTCCTTCGAAGAAAGACACTGTATTCAACATCTCCGAGCATTTTTTTCCCACGGATTCAGCACCCGTTACGAGCAAAATCGATTTCAGCGTCATATTGAGATGAATTTGATTTGTTTGAAGAAAAACAATCGTACACGATCGTATCTCAAACGGCAAAAATGTCTAAAAAAGATGCTCCGATCTTTCTCGGAGTACTTTAGATGTTTCTTCGTTATTTGGGATATTACGGGTATTATGTACCAACGCCTGTGTGTGTGTGTGTGTGCGTGTGTGTGTGTGTGCGTGCGTGCGCGCGTGTGCGTTTGTATGTTTGTATGCGTGGGCGTTGTTAGTGACGATTAAACATCGTTAAAACTCTTGAACTGATCGTCAGACATTCGATTTTTCGCGCATTAGGTGCTGAATTGAGCTTGACGCGGGAGAATGCGAGAAAATGGCTCGCTCGGGAGTGCGGGATAAAGTGTTTTATGGGCGACGACAAACACGTTCACGACCAACATACGTGTGAACCACGAATAAGAATAGCGGCGGATACCTTTTACAAATTTTTCGTAGCGCAAGCCGCGGCACCCTGTCGCCGCGACGTCGACGAAAGCAATTTTACATAATATTTACAGCGGTGTGCGATAAACAGCACACGTCACATAAATTAATTCGTACCCAGTAATGTAATGCAAAAGCCGATCGTGTTACTGACATGTTTCTTATCAATAAACTAAAGTACTAAACCTTAAATAATGGACCATGCATGTTAGACTAGTTATTTTATCCTGTATATCTCTGTAATTTCCGAGGTTACCTCTTCGGGGAAATGTGAAAACTGATAAATAGGCGAAACTAAAGATTGAGTAAATATTGAGCTCGTAAACATCATTCTTTCAAGTATCTCGTCCATTTTTAGTCCAAAAGGATACGAAAAAAGTAATATGTCAAATGAAAGCTTTTTTTAAAATAATTACCTAAAAATTAACCAAGTATCCACAGTTTTATTAAGGGGTCATACCTAGTCAGGAAGCCGAAAAATAGGTGATTTTTGGGAATTTTTTTGCATTAACTATAAGACTTGTTTAAAATTGGGTTGGACTATGCGAGAGGATATATTCTTATGAATGTAACATAATTTAAAAAAAAAAAAATTAATAATTATATAAGATACGGCCATCCTCCTGAAGGCTCTTTTAAAAAAATAGTTTTGCGGTGACCACTGCTGCTCGAATCTGGATCATCTGAAATAAAAAATTCAAAAAGATTTATTTAATATATTAAAGTATCTAGTACGTGAACGAACAGTTTTTCGAAATATTGATTTGGGACAAAATGGCAGACGTTCAAAGTTAAAGTTTCGATTTTCGATGAAAATATCGCTCGTTTTTCAAGAAAATAAAAACTATGCATCGAAAAAAATTCCTTCGTTCAAGCACTAGTTTATTATATCTAAAAGAAACGTGCCTAATTGGAAATAAATCGATGCAGTAGTTTTCGAGATATCTTGGTCACCGATGTTGAAAATACGGTTTCGAGAAAAACGCGTTTAAAGTTTCAAGACAGGTGTGCACTTAAATAAGACGTTCATTTTTTAACTTACATAAAGTCATCTATTCCAGGCTGATATTGTGTATTTTCCAAAGAGGTTGTAGTCTCCCAAAACATCTAGTTGATGCTGCCGTCTCAGCATTCTTCCTTCCCGGGTGGCCTGTCGCACGCGGCGGTCGGCCGTCTCAATGCTGGCTGCATCTTCCTATCGCCGCATATTGGTGGGCGTTTGGGCCACTGTGTACCCTCATGGTCTCGAACATTTGTAATAATGCCTCGGAACCTTCGTTAAAGACGCTCGCAGAGATGTATGCAGCGAGTTCTACAATTTTTAGTCCACTTGGTATAATTTTTGAACTGATTTTCCAAATGAGTTAATTATAACTCTCATTGTTATTTTGATGAAAACCACCAACGCATCTTTCTAATAATTCCTGCTTGCTAAGGTCCTGGTATATTGGTTTAATAGCATTCAAAACATCTTCAGATAGAGCCTTGTAATCATGTTTATAAGAGGTAAGGTTGCCGCTCTCGGAAGCGCACTGCCACGCGCACCAAGACTCTGTTCCGGATTAAAGGATTGTTTCCTTTTTGTCTTCATTTCCGAACATTATGCGTCTTTTGTAACTCTCTGGAACCTTTATGTAAATCCATAATGACTTAGAAATCGAAATATACAGCGAACGTCAACTGCACAGCTCGATGTCAACTGCTGTAACGGTCTCTGGACTTCGTTCCCCTTGGAGCCGAAAACTTTTTGTATTTACTAATACAAATATATCTTGTCACGGTATCACGGTGTCACGGTACATAATATATGACTCACAAAAGCAGATAGAAAGGAACGGCCTTCATCCCGCGCGCAACTGTCGTATTATACCTGCTCCTAATGGTCGAGCGGAGCGTACTTTGAACGCCTGTAACTCCGTCAATTTCAATCGGATTAACTTAAAATTTTTAGAGAATATTCTCCAATATTTACAGAAAATGTAAAAACCCAAAAATCGATTTTTTGAAATTTCTGACTAGGTATAACCCCTTAAAGTAACACAAGGGAGAAAATCTTAAAATTCCTAAGCTTCGCGAGCATGTTATTTTGTACAAAATATTCCCAGTTGACGAAGATAAAAATGGATCTGAGATGAGAAAAATTGGAGTACAATTTGAATTACATGAAAACACGCCACGACTGACACACGCCAAGTATGACAACTTTAGTGATTACGACAGCCGATGCAGTTGAAGATATACTGTTGAACAACCGTAAATTTATTATAATTGTGTATTTCGAACTATAATACAAAGCATTTGTGAGATGACTAAAATATTACAATTACAGTCGTTGCTGTGGCTGTTCGTCGCTGAAGGCCGCTTTGGGAGACTGCGCTTCCGGTGCCGTGCCCTTCTTGTCGCCGTCCTTGGACGATTCCCCCTTTTGCACGTTCCACTCCTTCAAACCTTCGGGTAATGTGGTATCCTCTTCGAAGGAGCCCGTACCCTCGACAAACTCCTCGTAGGTAGACTTTTCACGGAAAGGCCGAGGCCCAAGTAATTCAATCATGTCGTCCCTACTTAGAACCTCCTGTTTCAATAATCGCTCGGCGATCTGAAATCAAGCGAAATTATTTCGATTCTCGTTGTGACGGGGCCGTTTGAATAGACGATCAAATCATCGCTACCTTGATTACATCTTCTTTGTGTTCTTTTAAAAGAGCTAGTGTTCGCTTATGCGCCCTATCGATCAACTCTCGCACCTCATTGTCGACAAGCTGCGCTGTGTGTTCCGAGTACGGCTTATCGAAGACCATTTCTCCTGAACTCGGCATTTGAAAACTAACGTTTCCAATCTTCTCGCTCATGCCGTATTGTGTAATTTGTCCATACGCATATTGCGTGAGCTTACAAAAAGTAATGGGAAATATTCAGTAAAAAAATAATAATAATTAAATATATTATAAGATAGCCAAAATGTTGTGGTACTGAATGGCTCAGTGTCAAAAAATCACTTGTCAAGTGAAAGATCCGAGTTCGATTCTGAGAATTGTCGTCATACATACACTGCATGACAAAAGGATACCCTGTATTTTCGTCTGAATTATAAATTACGAGTAATTAGACAATTAACCCTTAAACTACACCCGGGGTCTAGGAGACCCCAACAAAAGCTTGTGTTTAAATATCTCCTATATAAAATGTGAAGTTGGGACTTATGGCGCCATTTGTTGTTAGTTGAAGTCTTCCTTTTTAAGACTACACATTAGTTGTGGGTCCCAAGGTGCTAGTGACAGCCGTTCAAAGTAGACGCTTCAAAACGCTGGAGTCAATCTGACCCCCTGTGTAGTGTACGAGTATTGGGAGGAATTTTTTCATATTTTTTTTGTTCAATTTTACTGCATTTCAACTAGAAAAATGTAAGTATTAATTCAAGTACCGTGTGATTTTTTAAATTAGTTATAAAATAAATTATAATACTTTTAGATGGCGTATAATTTGAGAACTCGGAGCATACACCAGATGCTGTATTGAAATAATGTATTCAACCTTTATTTACCATATATTTTGTAAAAAAAAACTTTTTACCCGCAAAAGACGAATAATATAATTAATTTTTATTGTAATGACCAGTAAAAATGTGCCTTCATTTTTCCGAAATATCACACCTTTGGTTGTCAAAGTAAATACCTTTTTAGAATGTGCACTATTGCAATTATTTTTATCTTAAAGAACATTGTTTCAAGAGTATCCAGTTAAATTAGGTTAAAATATTAAAAATGAAAAAGTTATTGAATTTTAAGTAAAAAAACGGCATTTTCTGAGCTTCTTTCTACATTAAAAATGTTTTCAATTATTGCAATCATTATTTATGGCTCGGACCAAGTTTATCCTACTTGTTAATGTTAATATAACATGTCTATTTTTTTACAACATCAAAAAATGAATAGTATCATTGCAGCAATTATTTAAACTAGCGGGGGTCAGATTGACCCCATGTGTAGCGTATGATTCAAATATGATAGATAGTGTGTAGTTTAAGGGTTAATAAGTTTCCAAAATTAACCTTCTGACCACGAATACTTGTACAATATACAAGTCTTTCTACTGACAATTTACAATTTTTCTTTCTCATAATTGAACGGTAGTGACTTTTAATTTAAATTATTTCAGAAACATGAAGCATCACTACCAAAAAATTTAATGAGTTCCAGCTGAACCAAAATAACATAGGTTTGTGTTAATAGTACAATTTATACCCGGAGGAGACTATAGAGAGCACAGTGAAAACATATAGCATGAAAAATATGTAGAAATATACAGAGTGTAACTAAAAAAACATATATGGAACACGCCATCAGATGTAGCACAGAAATCCAAATAAAAAAGTCCTTGGCCAATTTTTGATCTGAGCTTTCCTTTCGTTGTTATACGGTGTTAAAGTTAGCTAATCAGCGCCTGTCTACAGCGGGAAAGCAGGGACGTAGGGAGACGGAATACGCTGCGGAAGCAGAACGACGGTGAACAGCGGAGCGGTTCAAGTTTTTTGATAGCGTACAATGAAAATAGTTAATTGATTAATTTCATCCATCATTCGTTTCTATTGATCAATTTCTTTTATTTCCTTTTCGTGCTTTTGTAAACTTTTTAAGTTTCCATATCGTTGGTGACTGATTTTAATACACAATAAAATATCATTAGTAATCGAAGGTCAAGTTAAAAAATAGTAAGTTTTAAGTTCGGAAACTGTTTTGTAATCCTCAAATACCATAAATTACCCGTAAATTAATCTCGCTGAAAATGTAACATTCAGTTATATTTTCGGCGAGATTAATTTATGGATAATTAATTTACGGATAATTTAATGCCTGTTTTGTAATCCTCATATTATTAATATGAACTTAACAGTTTCCGAACTTAAAACTTAGCATTTTTTAACTTGATCTCCGATTACTTGATAATATTTCATTGTGTATTGAAATTAGTCACCAACGATATGGAATCTTAAAAAGTTTACAAAAGCATGAGAAGGAAATAAAAGAAATTGATCAATAGAAACGAATAATGGATGAAATTAATCGATTAACTATTTTCATTGTACGCTATCAAAAAACTTGAACCGCTCCGCTGTTCACCGTCGTTCTGCTTCCGCAGCGTATTCCGTCTCGCTACGTCCCTGCTTTCCCGCTGTCGACAGGCGCTGATTAGCTAACTTTAACGCCGTATAACAACGAAAGGAAAGCTCAGATCAAAAAATGGCCAAGGACTTTCCGATTTGGATTCCTGTGCTATATCTGATGGTGTGTTCCATATGTTTTTTTAGTTACACCCTGTATACATGAAGAGATTCGAAATGAGACGCTGAAAGTAATAAAATCGAGGAATTCCAGTCCTTTCGTTACTTGCAAGCTGTAGTTCGTCGGTTTTTGATGCAAACCATGTTTTTCTAACTTTGCAAAGATAATCATTTCATTAAAACTGTGACAATTTAATTTATTCCTTTTTAATATAACACTGCTTTTAAGGGCTGTGTTCACCTTTTTCCAAGTAGTATACAGTACCAGCTAAAGAAATCGAAAGGTGATATAATTTTGGCCGGTACTGTACATGTATGACATCATTGTCTTATTGCTTTTACAGTTAATCATGACGATACCTTCTGCAAGTCATCATGAGCGCCTGTAGTTATGCGACCGAAAAAGATTTCTTCCGACGCTCGTCCGCCGATCAGCACACACATCCTATCGAACAACTGTTCCTTCGTGTAAAGGAACATCTCACGTGGCAAATACTGAGCGTATCCTAATCCTTTGCCTCGTGGAATAATGGACACCTAATGGAGATTGATACAAAAGCTTGACTAATACCAATACTAAAAACATTGTAACGTTCGTCGTGAAACGTAGACAAAATGTGGCAACCTTCAGAAGTGGATCCGCATGTTCTAAGAACCAGCCAGTTATAGCGTGACCAGCTTCATGATACGCAACCGTCTTCTTCTCTTCCGGTTGTAATACTTGGGTTTTCTTCTCCAACCCAGCAATTACTCTCTCGATAGCTTGCTCGAAGTTTTTAAACTTAATATTATCATTCAAGTCTCTCGCCGCAATCAGAGCTGCTTCATTGCAAACATTTGCAATATCAGCCCCTAAAAAATTTTCATATGATGTTGTGATAGACTTCATCGCATTTTCATTGAATGTACAACACACTTTGTCACTTGTCCTTATTATTTCTGCAAAAATGTCCAATTACCTGTAAATCCAGGGGTCAAGGCAGCCATTTTTCTCGCTAACTCGGCCTTATCCAAGTTCGTTTTCAAAGGAGCTAAATGCACTTTGAAAATAGACGCTCGTCCTTTGATATCCGGAGCAGGAACATATATTTGTCTATCGAATCTCCCAGGTCTTAATAACGCTTTGTCTAAAATATCTATCCTGTTAGTAGCTGCCAATACAACCACATTAGTCGTCGTGTTAAATCCTTAAAGAAAATTGAGTAAAATGTTAGAAACAATTCGACAACCTTTGGCGCTTTCATATTTAAAACTACGACGTACCATCCATCTCTACCAAGAGCTGATTCAATGTATTTTCTTGCTCAGAATGTCCCCCAAAATTCCGACCTCCTCTCTTTCGTCCAACCGCATCGATTTCATCGATAAACAATATACACGGTGCATGTTTTCGCGCCATAGAGAACATGTCGCGCACCCTCGAAGGACCAACACCGACAAACATCTCCAGAAATTCTGAACCTGATACTGTAATAAAAGGTACATTTGCTTCACCAGCTGTAGCTTTAGCTAATAAAGTTTTACCAGTGCCAGGGGGCCCTGCAAGAAGAAAACATATGGCACTTTAAATGATACGTTTTGAACAGAATTATATGAAAAAGTGCAGTTCACTATCTACTAAATATTACACATTTTATATAACTTTACACATTTGATATAAACTTTAACCCTTTGAAAAGCACGGTGTAACATACGTATATGTTATACCTCCCGAAATTAAAAAGTCCAACACTTCTTTCACTCTGATGTCTTTACTACTTCGTATTTCGGTTTTTGGGTTTACTAATTCTGAATCTGAAGTCAAAATTCTAAAATTATCGATGATTAATTCAATATAGCAGCTCAAAATTTTAATTAAAAAAAATTATTTTCTACAAGATATTCTGTAGTCAAAAAATTATTCCTATAAACGACATTCCGAAACTAGGTATCTGGGAGTTATCAAGATCGCTGATTTCTTTTATCTGAAGTCAAAATTGGAAAATTTGGAAATTCAAGATAGCCGATCTAATTTAAAGAGTCGAAATTGCAAAAAATGCAATCGATTTATCTGAAACTCGGTACCTCGGAAGTTTTTAAATTGCTGATCACACACGAGGTCAGATTTACAAAATTTATAATGGCGGATCCAACGTGGCGCCTGAAAATCTGCATTTAAATTTTGTAATTCGAACACCAAAATCGTAATCAGCGATGAAAACAAAACTCTGAAGTATTAAGTTTCAGAAAAATCGGCTGAAAGGAAAAGTATATGTATGCTTCAAAGGGTTAATTACCTGTTAACATGGCGCCCTTTGGAATCTTAGCTCCAAGATCTATGTATTGTTGCGGATTTTTTAGAAAATTGACAAACTCCATAATTTCGATTTTAGCTTCTTCACATCCAGCTACATCTCTAGTATCAAGCAATATAAGATTTACTAACAAACCTGCACGCAGGTTAAATATATGAATGTATACGCGTAACGAAATACATATATGTACCACTTACTTAAATTGTACGCCTATGTCTTTCGAGTTTATTAGTTTTGCAGTTGATTCCATTACTTTACCAAAAAGTCCGCCTCTTTTACCTCCTTTACCAGACATCGCTTCCGCAGATCTTCGTATTAAGAAAATGAGAAATCCTAAAACAGGATACTTTTAATAACCGCCACAGTACATACATATGTATAAATAATGAGAGTGCCTTGCTCTAACAATTTACAAGATTAATAACAAATAATGATTAACATTAACTGCTTACCCCACATAATAATCTGCGGCAAGTACGACAGAAGATTTGAACCCTCTATTTCATTTTTGTAGACCACAGGAATATAATTTTCTGGTCCCATGTTTAATTCTATTTGTGCGTTTTCTAAATTTCTTTCAAAAGTATCGGTACTTCCAATATTAAACCATAACGTATCCTGTAAGAGATATTAACAAGAAAAGTTCCAGCGTGGAATTCAGAAGGCAGCAAATCTCATAATTAAGGACTTACCGAGCCATCGACAGTGTAGCCGGGTAACAGCTTTATACGCACCCATTTCTTATTTATTACCTCTAACTTTTCGACAAGACCTTTATTTAAATAGCTGAAAAATCAAATGTATATATATTTTATGATCATAAATATCAATTATTTCTGATTTATAGATAGAAATATAAACAGATATTATAGGACAAGAGATGAAAGATTAATATACCATATACAGGGTGCTCCCGGATTAAATGGCCAAATTTGAAAGATGTATTTAGGACCTCAAAGAAAGAAAAATTTCCCTCTGGAAATATGCTCGTAAACGTTCCGTTCACGAGATATTGACTTCTGAAGTTATGAACTGTTAGGAATGAATAATTTCGAAATAATTTAGATTTATCCTCTTTATTGCTTTTTAATAATAAAAATTTCATTATTAAACGTTTTGTTTAAAATGATGGCCTCCAGCTTGGAGACATGCATTGCACCTATCGATGACAGAACGAGTGGCTGACTGACATTGTGCGTCTGTAATTTCGTTACACGCCTGCACTATCCTCCGTTTTAATGATTGAAGATCATTAACAGGCACTTCATACCAGTTTATTCGACGAAAGCATTCAACGAACTAAGTACGATGACACGACGCTTTGTTTACCATGCAAATAAAAGCCTATCAATGACCTTCGATTTCGTAAACAAAGTTCCGTCGTACTGAATGTTTTGCGATTGGTTTTTAAATCGAACAACTTATGATTTACAATTCTCGCAAAACATTTTATGGACAGATGAAGCCATATTTACCAGACAAGGAATTCGGAATCAAAGAAATAGTCATATTTCGAAATTATTCATTCCTAAAAGTTCATAACTTCAGACGTCAATATCTCTTGAACGGAACGTTTACGAGCATATTTCCAGAGGAAAATTTTTCTTGCTTTGAGGTCCTAAATACATCTTTCAAGTTTGGCCATTTAACCCGGGAGCACCCTGTTTATATTAAAGTTACGTATAAGTTATTTATTAATAAATTAGTATGGCTCATATGTGTTAAACACAAATTTCAAAGAATTTAAAGGACTCAGAGCCGTGACAGGGTGGCAGTGTCTAAATATTCTATTCTAAGTTTATTGCGAAAAAATATCACCTGGCCGAGGTGATATTTTTTCGCAATAAACTTAGAATAGAATATTTAGACACTGCCACCCTGGCACGGCTCTGAGTCCTTTAAATTCTTTGAAATAATTATTTATTAATACCTTAAATCATCAAAGTACTACTGATTCGATGTATGTCATGGTACAAAGAAAATAAAACTGAAATAAAGTAAATGGCGTTAAATTATTTTAGACGCAATTACTATATCAAGGATCTTTCGGTTACTTTCACAAGATTACTCGGTTAGTTAATTAACACGTTAACTTGTAGCTTTGGAATCTGTGTATTGTCTTGTCATTCCCTATTAATGCTATTGATGTAAAACATATAGTTGTAGGGAATAAAAGTTTTCCTCACTTATATATAAACTCCCTCCATGTAATCTCTTTCAGATTCATATCTTGGCTAAGTAGTATCGCGATCAAAGCGCCTACTCCAAGCGTAACCGCAATCATGAATGTTTTTTCCTTATCGCCGCCTTCGAGTGGGTTGCCTCCCGAGTTGTTTCCAAAAATCTTGGATATCCACCGAAAGCTCGACTCCTTGGAACCGGACGAGGTAGAGGAAGACGAAGAGGAGGACGAAGACGGAGGTGGTTTCTTCGTCTCAGTCTTTTTACTTGTTTCTTCTGTCTTCGTCTCAGCCCTTTTATTTGTTTCTTCTGTCTTCTTCTCAGCATTTTTGCCAGCGTTTTTACCACTTTTACCTTCACCTGCAACGCAATTTCTTCTATACAATTCGATGTGAGATTACAAGTTAGACAAATGAAAATAGCAAACCTGGCTTGAAGAACTTTTCGAATCCTTTCGGTGGCTCCTTACAAAATAATCTCCACTTCTGCTGCACTTGCTCGATAGCGGACAACGTCGTGCTATTTTTCAGTAGCGACAAGTGGCGTCTCAGCTGGAAGAATACGCTTCAGCTTAATCCTTTTGTTCCAACGACAGAAATGCAATGCAAAAATGCATCGCGTCGCTATTCTTCAATTACATGTACATTCAATCACACTCATCCCCCGATTCAAATCCCTAGCGAATCGTTTTGTCTCATTGTTTGCCAATTGGCCAAATCTGCCGGAACAGATTTCGGTCAAATGCCCGCTACAAATTTTGAAGACAGAAAGACTGCAGATTGCACACAGGATATATTTGATATGTTACCAGCGTGTCAGCAGAAATGCAAGAAAATCTGCTCATATAACTGGATCTGCTCGGTTTCTGCTGATAATCTGTTGACAGTGTACATTTTACAGACTCTAGGCTTGTTTTTTTGTTGCTACACTAGTGAACTAGTGCAATAAATTAGCGTAAAGGCCTGTGTCCATGATGCTAGAACTTGGTCCAAGTTCTAATTTCAAGAAATGTGTAGCCAATCAACCTGCAGCTATTCCATAAAAGCTGCAAGTTGATTGACTACACATTTCTCGAAATAGAACTTGGACCAAGTTCTAGCATTGTGGACACAGGCCTTTAGGGTCAGAGCACGAAGTAACGTAGCGGCTCATGACAAAGACGTAAGCGTAAACGCAAATTGGCGCACAAGCTGTGGCGTAAGTCGTACTTATCTCCAATTACATATGACGTTACATTTACGCCAAAGCTTGTGCGCTATCTACATTTACGCTCTCGTCTTTGTCGTAAGCTATTGCGTTGCTCCGTGCCGATTTGTCGCACAACAAATGCAACATCGGCCTCACGCTGTGTCGCTGATTGGCGTAAATCGAGGCACTCAATCACGTTACACCTCGATCACGCGGTTTCTTCGCGAAAGCTGGAGGCAGCCGTCGCGAAGCTGACGCAAACCACACGTTACATTGCGCGCTACGTTACGCAACGTCGTAATGTAAACGCGCGAAACGCAGGGGTGCGAATGTTTTTCTTTTTATTTTTTTCCAGAAAATGCGATATCCATTCGGAGAACGAGTCACAGCCCGTTGCAACGTGACACGCGAACGCACCGGTTGCAGGGAATTGCGCAACGTGATGGTCCCGCGACTCGAGCCGCGACGATGACGTTCGCCGCGGTCGTTTTCGCGCGCGAACGTCGTCGCCGTCGCCGTCGTCGTCGGTTGCCCCGGCGCGACGCGTTATATCACGAGTACGCGGCGAGCGGCGGACAGGAATAGGTTAGGTTACGCTACCTGAAATGTGTCGAAATAACCTTTCTGCGCGGACTGCAGGACCAGCCTCTCCAGCCTGCGGGCCGAGAAGAGCAGTTGGTGCGCCATACCCGGTGCAATCGTGGGGGTCTACTAGGAGGATGCGGGATCCCCGGTTATTTATAATTTGTTCCCTCGCTGAATGTCGGGGCGCGACCACGCACTACCGGCCGCAGGCGACCATCTCAATTGTCGCCGACGAGGCGCGGGCACAGTAAGTACTCCAGTCGGTTCGCAGAGGAGCGACGGCGGCATTGGCTCGCCGGCTCGACGTGTCCCCGGTGCTGTCGTCATCGACGGCCGGTCGAGCCGGTCGCCCCGCGCGCGCGAGAATCCACTCCTCGACCTGTACCGCGGTTCGCTCCCCCGCGATTGTTTCTGCAAATTTGAAAATTAGCGCGATCCCTCCCCGTTTCGACACCCCGCGTGTTACAATGCCCATACAGCACAGAATATTGCAGCAACATTGCAACAATGGGCTTGTTTTCTGTTCCTGCACTGGTGAACTAGTGCAATAAATTGGAGTAAGGCAAGTATATTTTTTCTCATTCTAGCTTACTGCACTAGTTCACCAGTGCAGGAACAGAAAACAAGCCCAATGTTGCAATCAATGTTGCAAATTGCAATGCAACATTACGGAAACATTCTAGAAACATAAATTAACAATATCAGCAATATGGCATTTATATTCCGGAAATATTGCAAAACTACAGTACTATAATTTTGCTATAATAATAATGTAACTTTTTATGATATATGTGTAGGAGTCATTTAGTTTAATAGTCATTTGCAAGATATCCCACACAGCATCGAAATATTTCAGAAAGCTCTCAAAAAGCTGTCAATGAAATATGAAACCTTTCAAAAAAATATTTCAGACATATGTTTCAGATACATGAAATGTCCGCGAAGCTGAGATATCATAAATGTTTCTGAAATATTTCTGAAATGCTTCAGAAATATCTCTTAAATGCTTCGGAAATATTTTTGAAATGCGTCGGAAATATATATTTCTGAAATGCTTCAGAAATACTTCAGAAATGCTTCAGAAATACTTCAGAAATGCTTTGGAAATATTTCTGAAATGCTTCGGAAATATTTCTGAAATGCTTCAGAAATATTTCTGAATGATTTCTATCTTACATTTCGCTATTAATTTCCAAGTTATATGTTGGATAGCTTTCAATAACATATGTTTTAGAGATTACGTACGAAATATTTCTCTGAAATGTTTTGTAATATTTCTGAAATATTTCAGTGAGAAAGATCATAAATGATTTCGATAAAACGTTTCAAACGTTACTTCTGAACGATTTCAATGTTACATTTCAATATTAATTTCCAAGGTATCTTTTGGAAAGCTTTCAATGACATATGATTTTGATGAAACGTTTCAAAGATATTTCTGAATGATTTCAATTTTACATTTCAATATTAGTTTCCAAGTTATCTTTCGGAAAGCTTTCTGAAACTTGTTTTGCTGTGTGGGATATTAGTTATACATATAACTGTGTCGACTGAAGAGTTGCAGGAACATTTGTCTGCGTAAAAATAATGATAAAAAATAAAATAATAATAAATAATGATTAATATAATCAAATAATGATATACAAATAATGATTAACAAATAATGATATACAAATAATGATTAATAAATTAATACAGCTGTTTTGACGTATCTGGCTTTTTATTCACGTTGTTACATTAACGACGTTTCGATCGTGAATTACGATCCTCTTCAGCTAATAGGTTTATAGAGAGACGAACAAGAGCCAAACATTAGCTCGACCGTTATGTGACAGCAAAAAGTTGAATCGATGAAAAGCAATGTTCGACAAAATAAAGTACAACCCATACAGCACAAAAACCTTTCAGAAATATTTCAGAAATATTTCATGTGATAGATTGAAACGTTTCATAAATATTGCAAAATGTTTCTGCAATAGCTCTGAGACAGCTCTGGAACAGTAAAATGTCCGCGATTCTTACACTTGAAAGCTTATAGAAAGATTTCTGTAAGGTTACAAAAATTTTTTAGAAATATTTCAGAAATATCGCAAAATGTTTCTGCAATTGCTCTGAGACAGCTATGAAACAATAAAATGTCCGCGATTCTTACACTTGAAACTTAATAGAAGGGTTTCTGAAAAATTACTAAAAGTCGGTTTTTCCAAGTAGCTTACCTCTGATAGTTAAAAAGCATATACATATAGTATGTGTTACGTATACTATACTTTTTAACCATCAGGTTTTCGTGAAAATTTTTTTTCCAGTTTTCTTTGGGAAATGTTTAAAAAGTTTTAAAACGTCCAAAAATTACATTTTTACAAAATGTCCGTATGTGTGTATGTGTGTATGTGTGTGTGTGTGTATGTGCGGATTTGAATGTTCGTGGTTGCTCTAACTTCCGTAAATTTTGAGATATCGGGCCTAATTTTTTAAATATTTTTCCGCAATGGATGATTCTTTATCGCAGGTTTTTTATCAACTCTGTTAGCTTTACATTAAGCGACTGCTTGTACCCATACAACACAAATTGTTACAGAAAGGTTTAAACTATTGTGTGGTGCGGATGTTTCGCCTGATTTCGTGCTCGATACAATTCCACATAGATGCTCTTAAATTGGAAAAAAAATTTTTTACTTGTACTTCATTTTGACGAACATTGCTTTTCATAGATTCAACTTTTTGCTGTCACAACGGTCGAGCTAATGTTTGGCTCTTGTTCGTCTCTCTATAAACCTAGCTGAAGAGGATCGTACTTAATTCACGATCGAAACGTCGTTAATGTAACAACGTGAATAAAAAGCCAGATACGTCAAAACAGCTGTATTAATTTATTAATTAACATACTGGCGAAGAAATAACCACATTTGCAAATAATGATTAATATAATCAAAACAAAAACAACTCATATAAATTAATTTTCTTGAACTAAGTATTTACCTTTGAGTCTGAGTAGACATATCGAATTTCTCAGATGTAGTTGTTATTGCAGTTTACAGGCGATTTATGGAACAATTATATTATCCATAAATATCCCATACAGCACAAAAACCTTTCAGAAATATTTCAGAAATATTTCATGTGATAAATTGAAACGTTTCATAAATATTGCAAAATGTTTCTGCAATAGCTCTGAGACAGCTCTGGAACAGTAAAATGTCCGCGATTCTTACACTTGAAAGCTTATAGAAAGGTTTCTGTAAGGTTACAAAAATCTTTTAGAAATATTTCAGAGATATCGCAAAATGTTTCTGCAATAGCTCTGAGACAGCTATGAAACAGTAAAATGTCCGCGATTCTTACACTTGAAACTTTATAGAAAGGTTTCTGAAAAATTACTGAAAGCCGGTTTTTCCAAGTGTTAGGTAGCTTACCTCTGATAGTTAAAAAGCATATAATAGTATGTGTTACATATACTATACTTTTTAACCATCAGGTAAGCTACCTAACCTAACACTCTAAAACAATCGGCCCTAAGAAATTTGCGGCTTTTCTGAAATATTGCTAAAAAGTTACTAAAATCTTTTTGAAATAATAATAATAATAATACTGAAGACTAATTGAAATATTTGTGTTAACGTTTTTTATAATATTTTGCGCAAGCTGATTAATAAACTCTTATTAAAATAAATTTCAAATGCTTTAGAAATTTTATTTTATCATATTAAGTTATTTTAAGTGTTTTTTAAATGTTTTTCCGCAACGGAATGTTCTTTATCGCAGGTTTTTTATCAACTCTGTTAGCTTTACATTAAGCGACTGCTTGTACCCATACAGCACAAATTGTTACAGAAAGCTTCCAGAAAGATTTCAAAATTATTTCAATATTTTGAAATTTTAAAAAATGACGCAGTAGTCAATCATTATGCTTTATTATACTTTTACAAAAGTTGTAAGTTGATTGGCTACCGTATTGTCTTTTGCCACGCGGCAAGCATTTCAACGTTCCATATATGTGACTAAAAAAGCAAGAAAAATCTTTCTGTAATATTCGCATTACTTTTTCAAATTTATTGCATATGATAGATTTCTGAAACATTTCTGTTGCATCATTTCATATGACATATTGCAGAATTTTGTCAGAAATGTTGAGCATGAAATGTGAAATATTGAAATAATTTTGAAACCTTTCTGAAACCTTTCTGTAACAATTTGTGCTGTATGGGATAACACAACGCTTATATTAAAATTTTTATTTTCACAACCCCTCGGTCTAAACATCCTGAAATGGCGTGACAAGCAATTCTTGGGTCTGTTTTTTATTGCTGCTAGTGCACACTGGTGCAATGAGTTGGAATGAGAGGTAATCTATTTGTTTCATTTTAACTTATTGCACTAGTTCAGTAGTGCAGTAATAAAGAACAGGCCTCTTATGTCTTAAATCATTCAGCATCATAGATATGAAATTTTGAATCCGGCTAACTTCTATTTAATAAATATTTGATTAAAATTATCTGGATCACTCACAAACCTTTTTAATTGCACTACAAACGTCTTCATACGAAATACCAACGATTCCATATAAAAACTTTATCTAATTTATCTATTGGCGCTAAGTATACGGTGGAAAAATAATTAATTAATTACAAACAAACGAATGACTCACAAACTTTTCTAATTGCACTACAAACGTCTACATACAAAATACAAACGATTGCATATAGGAGTTATTTAAAAATACGTTCAGTCGGCGTCAAGTATGAGCGAATCCTAACTCGCGTTGGTGAAACCGGGCCTATGGGACGTCGCCCCCGATGCATTCGCCGCGCATGCGTGCAAAATCCGGACCGATTGAGAATACTGGTCGGTACTGGATGTGTTCGAAAATGGATTTAGTTACTGCCAGTGAAAACAGTATAGTTGGTAGCAATGAAAATTACTGGTGCTGCGTTTTTCGCACGCCAGTAAAGTCAGTAAGGCTGGGTCTACATTGGATGTCGTAAGTCGTGTAATGAACTGTGATTGGTCAATTTCTTCCGACACGACTTACGACATCCAA